GTGGACTTTCTACGGCTATAGAATAAAATATCAATTATTAAAAATTATTTTCTGCTTTTTAGTTCAATTTGCTTTTAAAACATGTTTTTTAGTTTTTTTTAACCATAATTTATTGTGTTTAAATGCCTACCTACACAAAACCAAGTATTTGTATTTAAATACTCTATGAACTAAGAGTATTGTACTTATTTGTATTTAAATACTTTTTAGATGGTATGAAGTCTGTTGGTTTTTCAAAATAATAATTTCACAAAATTCGTTTACTTTTTTGCTTGTAGGTAAGACTAATTTATTATCTTTTATCTAAATACCTATAAACGAATACGTACTTGATAAATTTAGCACATAATTTTGATAATTTCTTTGAACAATTTCTATTACTATAGACTATTAAAACTTTGTTGAGTCAAAAACGATTGTTTTAGAGTAAACGGACTGTAGTTAGGAAATTATTACCCATCCCTTCGACAAGTAAAGATACATGATACCTATAAGGAGAACTTTAAGAAGAGTTTTTTTATTATTTTTCATGAATCATTATTAAAAGTTACAATTAACGTATTTGTTAATAGAATTACAGTACCTACACGAATACTATTTCTACTTTTAAATATAAGTTATATACAAGATAAATATCTCAGGCCTATCTATTGTCATCAAAATTCTATCCATGAACCGGCGTTTGACCTCAATAATGTATCAAACGAATTGTTACGATTGTCCGCTAGCAAGGACTAGATTACATTAAAAAAACATCAAAAGAACAGAACAAGAAAAAATATTACTCCATGCACTCCGTCATACAATTAGATTCTTATTTATTCCTATTTTATCTTTAATTTGACTTCTGTTCTTCAAACATTCAATATAAAACCAAACAAAAGTTTCACACCTGTTTATTGATTTTTAATAATAAGATATCTTTTGGAAAACTTTACTTTTTCTATTAAAGAATTGTTATTTTTTTAGATTTATTTTTAATATCTCCTAAATATTCGTTTTCGTTCATACCTTTGGATCTTTTTCATAGTAATATTGTTGAGTTCTTATCCACCGGGAGACAAGATGATCTCTGACAGTATGGGCAAGGGCAAAGTAGTAGTCTCTAGGGGTGGCAACATTCCTATCTTTAACAAGAGTGTAGTGGACATGTCGGTTGAAGGTTTTTTTAATTGCCGAAACGTCTTCAACCTCGGCAATGTGCCTGACACTGATCTGTTTTCTTTTTTCTTGATCGGACGTTGGTGTTGCCATTTTGGACCGCTCTGTATCTTTACAGAAATTCTTCCGTGATGAATGTAAGGTCTTTAAATGTGGCACAAAATTTAGCCGACAACGGTTACCTACTCAGCTTAACTTAACGTACTATAGTATCGCTGTAAGGTACACAAGTTAAGTTTAATACACGATTTACACCACACGACGATGCCACACCAATACACACTGACTGATAGGACGAATAATAGGTTTGCTACTACGAGCAAGGTCACCTTGCCAACAGATGTACATGCCATGTACATATGATGTGGATCGAGCATGCGCCTGAACTACTTGATATTTTAAATCTTGCAAGCCAAAGAAAATAGGAAAATAGCCCGTTCAGCCAATGAACAATCAGAAGAAAAATTCTCAGCTGATATAGATGCTTCGATAGCAGCTAATTGGGAAAACTACACAGAAAATCAAATAAGCATACGTAATCCTGTAATGTGTACACTGAATAGCGAAAATGCTATTGAATTTTATTTTTTGAAAACATTCTGAGATTAAAACGAATTTTTATATGAAATCAAAAATAGCGAAAAAGGAATCATTAGTACATCAAAAATTAAAACATGTTTCTATATTTAACTTTCTCACAAAGGCATCACTGCTTATTTAAAACTTTAATTTTTATATGTATCAATACTTGGATAGCAGATAATAATTAGTCAGATAAAAAAATATAATAAAATCATAAAGCTTTACAGAACAACAACGAAAAATTATCGTTAAAAATGCAAATATTGCGTTTAATTTTCTTTCATTAAACCGTAAACGGATATATAAACATCTTGTTTGTCACTGTGCCAAATATCAAATTAGATTTGGTTGATATTCAACAACAAGTTTCACTGTAAAAACATCTCATAAACGAAAATATTAAATGGCATAATTAAATTAAGTTATTATTAATTTTAAGTTAAATAATTTGTTTTGTTTGCTCACGCACGTAGTAATTCTGATAATATTTATTAATAGAAAATGGTAATGAGTGCAGTAATTATAATAAAATGGTAACTCTTGTCAAGTTGTCATTATCTAATAACGTGTAGTTAATAAGGTAAATACCTAGCTCCCTAGGTACCCTTCTATGAAATAAGATATATGTAAAGGTAAACAACAGAATATCGCGTTTTTATTACTTGAGAATATTTAAATATGATTATTAAACATTAAATGTGTTTATTTAATAATAACTATTTACTATTTTATAATAGTTTGCGATAAAAAAAATCTGATTTCGTCCTATGTATCATACAAGAAAATTACTTATAAAGCTGATGTACCAGGCGGCAGAAAATTGGGACGCCATATTTGTTATTGAGTTATTGTAAAAAATATATTTTTTTAAAGTATTTAAGTGCAAATATTCTTGCTTCATTAAGCATTTAAATACAAATACTTTTGCTGCATAGAGTATTTGAATACAAATATAAATTTGAAATTCTTTTGGGTTATAAGTATTTATAAAAATATTCTCAAGCAATTGCTTGATCTATTAGCAAGTACACAAACTCAACTGATTAAAAAAATATTCTGAAGCAAGGTATATACTTGCAAAAAATATTCAATTTTAAATATGAAAATATAAATACAAATACAGACATGAGTAAAGTCTTTGAAATAGTAATAAAAACTTTTCTGTATAGGAACGCAAATATTTTAATATTTGTTTTTAATAAACTGCATAAATAGCTTATATTTGATATAAATTATTTTTATGTATACCTACCTATTATTATATTTATATAGTAATATTGTTTCAAAAGTATCATCAATCAATTTTCCTCTGTTTTTAGTAAATACACAGCCAACTACACTAAAGAGACGTTCAACTAGTCCACTACTTGGTAGTGCCGTATTATATTTTAGAAAAAATTGCTTCAGTATTTGGAGTTTTTTTTTTATCGTTAACGTAATTTGCAGTATCTGTTCCATTAGTATCTTCTAAAGATATTATCGGTGTTGAGAAATGCAGAAATATTTCACGGCCAATTAATTTTTGACATGAAATATGAGCTTCTTTTTTTGTACCCAACCGAAAAGAATTGTTTCATCTTTTATCCACCTGATTATTATTTTGTTCAACTATCTCATCAATCACTTCAATAATAATTTGAATTGATTTCTTCGAAAATGATTTAGCAGAATCTTTTTCTAGTCAATCTAATTTAAAACATGGGTGAGATATAGAAGCTAGTAATAAGTTCTTATCATTCAATTGTATTTCAAAACGACGATGTAATCCTGTAGACATCGATTCTAAGACTTGCAGTAAACAATGGGCTTTTTAGTTAAAATGGCAAATTGGTTCTCAATTTCTTTCAGAGTTGGCAAAGGCATTCCCCATATACATTTGCATTTTATCTTGTAATAAGTCTAATGCAAGTGCAATTGGCTTCATAATGTCCAAATATTCTAGAAGCAAGTCTGCATCATTTTTGTTAAATGTCTTTTTTTTTAATTCGTCACAAATTATGCCAAAATTGATCGAAGTGTGTATCAATTAAAATATTTGCAATCCATAATAAAGATCATACGTTGAATTCCATCTCAAATCATTTGTTTTTTTTATATTTTTCTAATTTTGTATGTATCAAGTCTGCTGTTACAGTAGATCTAAATATTTGAAGCGAGTATATACTTGTAAAAAATAGTTGATTTTAACTATTTAAATACAAATAATAAGTACTTTCATTGAACAGTAAAATACTTTTCTAGTATTTGTGTTTGTATTTTGAAATAATTTTACTCAAATACAAAGTCTGCTATTACTAAAGTGACCACACGTCCCGAATTTGGCGGGACAGTCCCGCTTTCCGGTGGACTGTCCTGCGACCCGCCGATTTTTAAAAATGTCCAGCTTTTTAGAAAATATCTGCATTTCTTATTTTAAATGTACTGTAAAAATATATTACCTATTATTTCTTAAGTATTATGGTGAATGTTCTGTCGAACTATTTATTGCATTTTATAAGTCGTTTATTTCATGTTCTATTTTATTAAATCTCAACTTAAAAGTTTCAAATTATTCAAAGGAAAAGTTATGTCTTTTTACAATCAAATGTAGGAATTGTAGACGTAGACGGAAGAGAGCTGTAAAACCATTTTTGACATTTTGACCATACACCCTTCGGGGTGCACATACTAGCTAAATTCTCAGAAGAATATTGTGAACGATTGGTCGCGTCTAATATTTTATTTATAGAGAAGTCTGGTTAAGTCTTCACTGTTAGGCACACGCTTTTTACCTTTTTGTATATTTCTGTAACATTAAGTTTTTCTAGATTAAATAGGTATTAAGTTATTTTTGAGTTTTTATTTTAATAATCTGAAACATATCGTCGCTTACGATTAGTTTCAAGATCGACTGTATATTACCCAACATCATAAAAGAAGGCAATATTTTCCAGTGAATATAAAGAAATAAAAAATACATAAAAAAAAACACATAAAATGCATGCATAGTAGCTAAATTAAGCAATGTACTGAGTTAGATTTATTTGGTGGTGTTGTGTTGAAAATTGTAGAATTCGCGCTCTCCCTTCCAGGAACAAATGCATTTTCTAATATCAACAACACTGTTGAACATTAAAACTTTAAAATCTATATTAAGTGTAAAATATAGTTTGACCAATTCATGTGAAGTACTTCACGACATTCTAATAAATGATCTGAATGTATTGCAAAGTATTCACTTGGATCAAAAATATGACCGTGAAGAAAATCTATTTTTTTTTCTGATAAAAAATCATAATGTTCAAATTATTATTTTTTACAAATATTTTTATAGTTA